GCACTACCCTAAGTATGACTATTCGTAAGTAAGAGATAAAAATAAATAAAACTCGTGTATCTTCATTATTTGTTTACTTTATTAACATTAAATAAATATTCAATAATTAATGTGATGGATGAGCCTGCAAATCACTGCACATTTTCTCAACTTGAAGCTTTTACAATATTTCGATAGTTTGGGGGAATAAAAATAGTAATCACAGTTTAGGTGACAACCTGATACCTGAAAAGTGTGAAAAAATACTAAGCAGCGACTAGTAAAGATTGCTCTAGAACTGCGTAACGTGCGCATTGCCTAAAGGATCCTCGTAAACTATATTTTGGTATCTCCATGTCTCTGATTCAAGTAAAAATGACCCAGATAGTTCTCGTCTGTCACAAACCAAATTTATATACCTTTAGTCATTGAAGAATACAAGAAGAATTTGGTATGTACCAAGCATATACCTACTTGATGCATTCAAATCTGGCATATTTGTCAGCTTCTGGATCGACACGATGCGCTGCCAGTTAGAGTTTCGCGCAAGAACCTGAAACAGAGGTAAAAGTTATGAGAGCGTATAGTAGAGTTTTTCTCGCAAGGCAATGAATAGATCTAACGAACCCAGCGGATTTCGGCACTCCAAACTGGATTTGAACCCGAGTCTTGAGCATCGTGGCATCAGGTTACAACTTCACTTCACAGCCCAGATTTCTAGCGGGTCAGAGAGCATATGCAACTTTCAAGGCAAGCCAGGCCTCTTTTAAAAGCATCAGATTGCAGATGATGCAAACGTGTATGTGTCATTGTGACACGACCTTCTATTTCGAAGAAATATTTGCCTGTAAAGAATCTGTGAAATGGTCTCACCGAAAACTGAAGAACGATTGTTCCGGGATAAAGACTGCTGGATTGTGCCAACAAGTCCTCAGCTCACCGTACTGCAACCACGATTAACTTGTCCTAAGCTTACGTTTGTACAGTCGTAAAAGGTGGCGTCATTACAAAAAACCATACTTTGCGAAATGGCGCAAAAATATACTAAACCAAGAGAAAAAGTTTAGTATATTTATGATGAGACCATTTAACGAATTTCTTCTTACTTAACTCTCTTTAAAATTGAGACTCATGCCACAATATTGCGTTCTATTCAACATCCAATTATCACGGCATCCACGTATTTGCAAAAGAAAATAGTGGAGGAACACTTTTTCAGTATTCATTCACTCTTCCACACTTACTAATGCTCAAAACCTCCTCCCACCATCCTATTCCACTCACACTCTACTTCTGACTCTGACTCAGAATCTCGCCCAACGCCTCTTCTCCGGTTTGGCGCCAAGCACCGAAAGTGTTGAGCATATGCGCCCTGATCTTTTGACATATTTCCTTCTGACGGGCCTAGACTCGCCTTCCTAACTCCATGCCGTGTAATACCATGAGGCTAGATAGCATTTCGACTTCAAAGAGATCGCTTTCACACCATAGCCTCTGCCTTGTGGAACCGTCAGCTTGCGAAAAGTTTGGATGACCTAATGAGGAAGTGGAATATCAGAAGAATGCATAAACAACAAGTGACACTTTCTTTATGATAATTTTTCGGACCCTCTTTCTAAATCAGGCTGCTGCACGGTTTTATGCTTATGTGGTAAGGTCTATGTGGGGGAGACCTGCCCACCTACCCAGAAGCGATTATGCAAACAATAAACCGCTTGTAAAGGCCTTTGGATCCACAATTTTGGCTCCCTGAACATATGAAAAATACAGAACATTGTTGAAAGGACTTACTTTTGGCGTGCAAGTACATAAATAAGAGGTTTGAGGTTGATGTCACCCGAAGACGAAAGCTGATTCGCGTTGCAATACAGCCATTTGGCTTTAATGCGACCTTTAGGTTGACGCAGTCCACAAGCCATCTTCCCTCGTTTCAAATGGAAACGGGATACGCTTTCGTCCATCATATGATGACCATCATGAGAGATAGAACTCGCTCATGCAAAAATTTCAAGTTAACAACTCATCATGAAGAATATCCGGTTCTACCTTAACCCTTATACATACTCAAAACTTGAAAAAAAAAGCTATATATGCATAGATAGATATAGAATAGTCCAGCTAAATATATTTTCTATTGTTCATCCTACTTTCACTAGAATATGTGTGTTCTATACGCTAATAATTACATAAGCCCAATGTCAGGCTCTGGTTATCGAAGCTTAATGACTCAAGAAATAATGTGGACTGGGTCCGTAATTATATCTGGTTGAGATAATGAAAAATAAGCTTGAAAGCATGTAAGTCACGTTACGAAACTACTTGTCCATCTATGATCATTGAGGTTGAAAAATACAAGGAAATGCATGAATGGGATTACGTGAT